GTGAATATATGTTCATTTTCCTTAAACATTGCAGATGAACTATATCAGCCACATGAAATACACCATCAGTCCTTATATTAATGAAGTAATTTATCACTCTTATGAAAAAAAACCCCAAACAAACCATAAATAAATGAGATGTGGGAAATCAAACAAAACTGTATCACTAAATACTGTGACTCCAATGTTTTGAAACAGAACAAAAAATCTTGGGGCTTGGTACTGCTGCTACTTTTTATTAACTGTGAGTGTTTCCATCTGGACTAGTCTTTCCCAGTTTTTGAACAAGCTGAGGCTAAAATTCCAGGCAGCTTAGAGTGTGGCCACAACTCAGTTTCAAGCCTTTTTGGGGGATTCTGGGGAATCTGGGTTTACATTAACATACACCTCAACTGTATAAAGTACGTCCATACAGTATCAACTGAAAGCTGCATTAGTTCAAGACAGTTTAGACTGAATTTTTATTTATTGATTTTATTTTATAAAACTTATATTTCATTTTTAACAACAAAATACTTGAAGAAATAAGGTTCAATGAGAACAGAATGTGCTTAGATTTCAAGAATTCCCAAAACATGAATTTTCAAAACATGACAAACTATAACTTTCATCATAACAAAAGAAAACTGATTAAAAAGGGCAAAAGATGACTTACCAACAACCTCTTTTATACTATCTTGTGAACAAGACTGACTGGCATTTGCCAGTCAATGAACGAATAGACATTTCAGTTTGGCACAATACAAGCAAATATACATGTTCTATTTTTATTAATTGCTTCCGTATTTTAAACATTAAATTTCTGCCATCTGTCTAGCACATCCTTCTCTTCCCCAGTCTGCACCAGCAGACTGAAAAGGAACTTCATTTTTACAAACCTCGTCCCCCCCCCCAAAACCCAAACACAACTCACCATATTTTAATCAGTCAATGTGCTTACCCCAAACAATTAATACTCATCTCTAAGTTCTGTTCTTCAGTCAGACATCACAAAGCGAAATACAAATCCTTCCTACAAGACAATAGAAACACTTCCTTCCACTGTGAAAGAGGCAAATCCAATCCCTGTTCCCTGTCCTCTTGAGTTGCCCCTGCACCTGTGTATAGAGTTGGACAAGTCCACCCATCTTGCCATCATAAACAATCTAGAGGTTTCTCTGTGTTTGAAAATTCAGACCAAAGGCATTTTAAAATCAGAATTATTTTTAAAATCTGACATGTCAAATGATAACCAAGACCTTCAACAACTGGAGCAAGAAGCTACTGCTCACAAACTACCACTAATAGAAAGTCTATGTTATCATTGAAAGCAACTGAGAAGAGTGCATGCAACTCTGGAATCTTTTCCAGAGGCATAGTTTCATCAGGACAGAAGATCATACTTATGCTAAGGCAGCTGTAAAAGATAATATAGGGACGGAATGGAAGAAGCCACGAGGGAAAAAAAAAGCTAGAAAATAACAAGTGAGGACTAGAACAATGAATAAAAGTGTTAGTCACTCTCAATTACAGTGTACAAAGAAACAAACAACTGGGTAGCACTTCTTTGATTTTTTCAAGCCACCAATCCCTCCATTAAGATACATGCATCCACGCAATGTCTCTATATCCTTACAGAACTTTAAATCTTAGGATTATGGATGCACTGCTCATGTCTCCTCTCATTCATATAACCTAGTCATTCCAGTATGCATCCAAGACCATTTTTTAATAAATAATACATAAGCAATCAGCCCAGAGTGTATTTTTCCTCCAGCTAGTGACAGAGAATAGGACTATCTTATGGGGTTCTTGTACACTAACAAATTATTTATGTACCAAAGATTTATTGACCTTACCTTGTGCATTACTAGAATGAAAATCATATCATTCTAAACCATTCTTTTGCATTAAATTGGAGAACTAAAACTACTGTATTATAGTAGTATTCTATCCCTGCTTGGACAGATTGTTGTCTAACAACTCCTGCTTACATGGAGGGAAGAAACAATTCATTGAAGAATAGGTTATGATTTGGTTATATAATGAAGATTAATTCAAAGAAATTGTTATCTTTCTAGTACTTTTCCATCCAAAAGTAAGAAATCTGAAGCTGACTGTGAATCAGTTACAGGGTAAGAGAGTAATAAAACCCAAAGAGCATTTATAAAAGTAACGGAAATCCTAGAACAGCTATTAGTCACTTTTAAAAAAAGCTATTATTGCTCCTGCAAATATTAAAATGAAGATTGAATACCTTAAAAACTATTTGCTTAAATGACAAACTAAGTATTCTCTGGACATGCCTAATTACACGCATAAAGAAGGGAAGGCAGGTTGTCAAAAACGAGAAGTTACAAAATATGTTTTGAGAGTTTTGAAGAACTCCTTTAAGAACAGATTTATGAAATGTTTTTTCCTAGACTGTGCCATTCAAGTAATAAACAAAAATTGAAGGTGTTTTGTGTTAGCAGCCAAACTGACATTACAGCCAAACACATCCTTCTTCAAAGGCTGCATACAAAGTATTCAAATATGCATTTCCATATCACAGAACAGCTGAGGCTGGAAGGGAACTCTGGAGGCCTTGTCTAAGAACCCTGCTCAAATCAGGCCACCCAGAGCAGGTTGCCCAGGACTATGTCCAGACGGATTTTGACTATCTCCAGGGACAGATATCCCACCTGTGGATTTCATTATCTGTGAATAGACTGTCTGTAATATCCATTATCCAGCTCACTGAGAGTAAGTTGAAAGTAAAATAAAGGTTTTGCTCCAACAATATTACCTGTTACTCATCAGAAATAGTTTTCAGGTAATATGTTCCTTGAACAGACTACTCCAGCTAGAAAATGTATTTTGCAAGTTTTAAATTCTGAAAAACTGTTATATGTTCTATGGACAGACATAAAGGTAAGAATATCATATTCATCCATAAGATATAAACACATAAAAGACAATAGGTATTGCTGGTAGGTATTGCTAGGTGTGCTACAGCACCTGAAGATCCATTTGTAACAAACCACTTGGTGACTGCTGCAGCAGAATTCCTGACTGAAACAAGTATCCTCCTCCCTGATGGCATGCAAGACACAGTGTGAAGAGGAAACAGAGCTGCTGCTCAAGAGTGAATGCACATTGTTCTCAGAGTAAGCTGAGAAGTAGTGTATTGTAGCAGTTCATTTGTAAATTCCCCTTAACCTCCTGATGTATTCCCTCTCTCCTTTACTTCCCTCCTCTTTTATAATATTCTATATTATTTTATTTTTGGAAACATAAGTGGAGGTCCTAGTATGACATCTAGCAACCATGCAGGTACTTTGCCCCATAGACTACACCCAATATCACATTTTCATAAACTGGTCTTGGTGTCAAATGGCTTCTCTGTAAATATAAGAAATGTTTCAATTATTCAGAAGAAAAAATGTCAATAGATTAAGAGATTGAAAGAAGCTTTTCACCTGCTGGGTTAAAAGAGGAACATACATTTAATTCCTAGAAAGGATTGCATGGGATCTATCAAAGTTAGTTCTCATTTTCTAACAACTGTCATCTACCAGTATACACAAATGCACAGACTTCAAATAGTAGAACCAATTTGGGTTTCAAAATTTGGGGTCTTCCTTGTGTGCTTTCTTTAATTAAGTCCTGAGACCATTATATTACTATTGCACAGTGACTAGGTAAAATGAATGTTGTTCCCTTCTCCCATGCCTCACAAAATCAGGAAAAAATAATGAAAATCCTAGTTATTGATAGCTGTCCATTCATATACACAACACCTAGTATCTAACAGAGTACTGTAGAAAAACAGCGGCAAAATACAAGTGTACAATTGAGTGTCATTGTTTAAATGTAAAACAGACTTTAAAATAAAACTCTACTACTATGAAAATTTAAATGCATTTGTAATTGACTTTCAAGTTGACTATATATTTATTGCAAAAGTAGTTCATGTAAAAAAGAAATACTGTAGTAGCTCAAGCTCATTACTACTGAATACAATCTTTGGCTAAAGGCACAGTTTTTCATCTTTTTGTATGAGATTATTATTATTCCAAGGCAGATAAAGGAAAGATTCAGTCAAGGTGACAATTACCATCTGGCTAGCTACAGTCATTTTGATGCTCCCAATTAAATGCACATGCAATATTATAACGAATGCTATTAGAATTACAGTTAATGTTTACATTGAATATCACCATATTTGTATATTACTAGTATATTACTTTGTCTATTACTAGTAATTACTATGCATATTATTAAAGTTATATATATATGACTGTCTGCTTTGAAGTCTGATAATACAAAAGATAAAATTCATTAAAAAATCAAGGTGAAACCCTCCTGTGAATTTAGTTCCTTCCTAAAGGAACTTCTTCCCACATGGTTGCTACCACTTAAAATCTTGTCTTTCTTTCACACTCTTCTCACCCCATTTTGGGGACTGACAACTCTGAGAGCTTGTTGGGAGTACAAATAAGGACAAGAATCAAAGTAAGAACAGACATAGAATCAGTTCAGACTTTTACTCTTGGAAATACATTACAAGTTATGGGTTGCGTAGGGGAAAGAGCACACTGCCCATCAGGATGAATACAGAACAAACCATGACTTGAAAACTGTTGAAAAAAGCAAGAGTGTAGTATCTGAACACTCCATATTACTCCTACAAATACATTTATACAACCATGAGGAAACCAAGAACAGCATACTATTTAGTTATTTTTAAGACTTAAACCTTGTGAAGTTTAGTTTCCAAGTTACTGAAATTCAAAGAAATATAGTTACTTACAAGCATGTCTGACTAAACATATTCAGAAAACTGTTTAAAAAAAAGATGTGGGAGATTTAATATTTTGATTTCTGTGGAACTATTTCACCCTCTAAACAAAACCAGACACAAGCAGATTTTTTCTGCTGAATTCAATGGGAGCAAGAAAAGGTACTATACAAAAATCAATGTCCAATTCTAATGAGAACAATGTTTTACTTAAAAGACAGTATTAAAACACTATTACCTCCAGCAAGGATCTTCTCCTCCAAATCATTCATTTGTTTCTTGTATGCTTTTAAAGCAGCTTCTTTAAATGATGGTCGTATTCTTTTTTTCTTTGGAATTTCAATAACTTCAGTAATCATCTCCGGGACATTCTGATTTTCATCCTCCCTTATTTCTACTTCAGGAGCCATGTCACTTTCAACTTCCAATATGTCTTCACTGATCACACTGTCAAACTGTGTGTCATATTGTTCTTCTGGTAGCATTGCATATGGAGTTTCATACAAAGACTGGTCCAGTTCATACTCTGGGACCTGCTCACTAGTTTCACTACTATTAGTTCTATTTTCTAGTTTAGCAAGGACTTGTTCCATTACTTCTACATAGTCCGTTTCATTCTCACCAGATGGTTCAATTAATTCTTCCTCATACTCTGCTTTGTAGCAATAAGGCTCAGCATAAACATCAGAATCAAGTGTCGTACTTGATTCATTTGCAGTAGACTGAGATAATGTTCTAAACCTTCCCATAAAAGATGATCCACTGTCTTCATACCCACTTAAACTTTGTGTACTTTTATTCCAGACTACTTCTAAAGCTGACTTAGCACGCTGAAGCGTAGATCCAAATTTAGGAAAGCTGAAAGTCTTATCAGAAAGATCTATGCTTAATCGGCTGTGCCATGATTTAGGGGCAGTTTCCTCTGAGTCGTCACTTGGTAGTTCACTTTGACTTCGGTACATCATAGGCAATTTGTTTTGATTCTGATAAGAGGAGATAGAATTTGTTTCCTGATAATCATCATATTGACCAGTCCACTGACTTTGTGTTTCGCTGTCAAGGCCTGGACAAGATGGAGAAGTACCATCTAGAGTGAAATCATAGCTTTCAGTATCATACTGGAGGTCAGAACTTTGGCCCTTTCCAAAATCTGTCTGTTGGTCTGAAGGGCTGCTCATATCATACCCAAAAACTTCCTGCGTGGATGAGTCTAGGCCCAAATCTGCCCCTTGTTCCAACTGATTCCAGTTTTTCCATGGGGAAAGATCGTCCTGTAAAGAAAGCTGACTATCATCATAATGGTTTATGTCTCCAGACACATGGATTATTCCATTGCTTACTCCACTATCAACAATTTCTATGTTCCCTGATTCATTTTGCTCTGGATACTGCTGCATATCTTGGGCAAAAGTCTGTTCTTGGGAACTGCCATACCAGTTTAGAGAATCATCTTGCCTTCGCTGCCAAAGTTCTCGATCAGAGGAAGACAACAATGAACTGCCATTTGTTCTGCTAAAATACTGGTTTTCTGAAAAATCCTCAGAGTAAGACTGACACAATTTTGAGAAATCTGATTCTGAACGGCTAAGCTTTGGTGTTGCAAAGTCATTCTGTAAATGCCATAAAGGAGTCACATCTGAATAATAGGCCTTTGATTCTTTTTCCATAGTGTCAAATTCTGGTGACTGATTGTCATAACTTCTTCTGTGTGAAAAGGTACTATTGTCAGCAGTTCTGTCAAGGTCTTTAGTGTCTGGGGACTCAGTAGTCCCCTTTGTAGTGCTTGTTTTTATCTGATGTGCTGATTTAGATATTTTTGCATAACTGTTCTTATTTATATCTGATTCCAAGTCTTTATCACTGTCAGGTGACTCCCAGTCATGCATTTTAGATTTTGTCTCCACAGTTAAAAGTTTCATATCCATGCTTTCATATGTCTGAGAGGAAGGAAGTCCTCTTTCTTTTTTATCTTTTATTTCATGGGAAAATATATCTGTAGAAATTCCAATGCCAGTTCCCTTAAGTTTATAAGACTTTTTTAAAATCAAATCTCTCTGTTGTGATGACTCAAAGTAAACAAGAATGGGTCTTGGCTTTGCATTTGGACAATCTCTTTGCTGCCCAAGCCTTTGGGCAAATTCAATTTTAATAGTGCTTTGTGCCTCTGAGAATCCCATTTTTTCCATTAATATTTTGTAAACTATGCTTTCAGCTTTTTCAAGTCGCTCTTCAGGCACATTTAGAAACCTAAGACTTGCTTTGTTTCCTGGGTGGCCTATCTGCTTAATATAGTCATGTATGTCCCGAGTTTCTCTTCTGGACTGTACAAATCCAGTTCGCAATTGTTCAATTTCATTTTGCACAACTTCCACACTACTAGAAATTTCGTCGATTGATTGTTTCAGAGCATTAACATGCCCTCTTAATTCAGAGAGTTCTGTTTCAATTTGACTTATTCCCTGAAGCTCTTTAAAGATCATTTCCATAACATCATGGGTTTGGCTAATACAACCAGTGGAACTAAAGCCAGGTTCAAGTGTATTTGATTTCTGGTGACGGCCAGTTCTGTCCAGAGATTTACTTCTTAACCCCCATGTTCTCCTCCATGAACTTAGCTCCGAGTCTGATGAGACACATTCTTGGCTCTTCTTCCATTTCCTTAGTTTTCGTAAGGCTCCCAGTTTTAGTGTGTGTAAAGTGCGCTCTCCATCCGAACTTCCATCAGAGGCTGCGAGGCTGCTCAAGCTTTTCCTGTTGCGTCGCACAGGCATTGTGTGGGATAAGTATTCGTTTTTCTTGCTATTAGTTTTTACTTCACTTAACGACTCAGAACACGAGCTATCGTTTGAAGACAGGTCTTGAACTATATCTTCATTATTAGTGTTTGCTACAAAAATATGCCTTTGCAGTCCATTGGCAATAGCAACTCTGTAACTGAATGTTGGAGAAAGTGAAAATTCTCTATTGCTTTCCTCTTCTTCTGTTGATAAGTTGCGAGCAGATGGGCACTTTGCAATCTTTTTAACGGTGCTTTTAAAAGTATTGGAAAATTTTGGATTTTTTGTTTGTCCAATCTGACTTATGTCTTGTTCCTTTTTGCTCTGACAACTCTCTTTCCTTTTTGTACTATTTCCCGATTTCTTTGTAAACATTCCTTTGCAAATCTTATATATATAAGATGAGATCAGGCTCTTGAAGAGAGCAGAAACCATGGAGTGCAATTTATTTTAAGCTGTTTCCATAAAACACAATTTTTGATGCAGAGAAGTATTTGTATCTCCAAAAGGATCATTGGCAAATGTTTCAATGGAGACTATAGCCATAAAAACTACTGATGCTGTGGAATAATGCAACAAAAAAATTCTTTAAAAAATCACACATCTGCTTGTTCAAAACAAAATCCTGAAGAGGTTTTGTATGTCTTGCAAAATCTCACTGTGTTGCACATGGATTCTTGAAGTGTCTAAAAAGGAGGGAATGACATTACAATGGCTGTCAAGCAAACTTATCATTCAATAATACTGATGATGTTTTAACTAGGTTACAATGAAAACACAGATGATTCCCCATAATTGTCTGAATAGATTTTTTCCATGAATAATTGAAGCTGAAAACAGTTTTCGGCAATATTGTTAACAACAATTAATAAGTTATACTTATTTCCAGACTTCTTCACCCAGTTTAATTCTCTGACTTTAACAGAGATATTCAGTTTAAAATGCTCTCTGCTTTCTTTCAAAGTACTGACATTTCAATTTAGATCCATGTCATACAGCAGTGATCAAAAAAATGGACAGGGTAACAAATGGTTACTAGCTAATAAAAAAAAAGTAGAAAGTTTTCTCTTGCTTCATCTTTTAGACCAAGGTAGGATTCAGGTACAAGTCAGTATGGTATACATGAAGTGCTGCTCTATCTTGAGATTGAATTATGTACTATGACTATGGTTTGTGGAATAGTTGCTTTGATACCAGACTTTAATATGCTCTGATAAGCCAGGACTCAGAAGCGGGCTTATCTTTTTGGTTTTTCTTCTTTAAGAAGTAAAAATTAAATAACTCATAAAGCATAAAAGAAAATAATGACAACTAATGGAAATTCTCATTCAGGTTATTAAATTTGACATTTTTCTGGTAACAGAAAAAAACCTCCCCATAAACCTACAAAAGCATGGTTTACAAGTTGCAGGACATAAACAGGTGCCATTTCAACAGGAAAGCTATTTGATCTAAAAGAAGTCTAAAAAGCTTCCATGGGGAAACTTCTATCTCGAGGTTTCTACTCCATAATACAAAAGCTTGTATTCCATAGAAATGCAGTCAATACATTTTAAATATGTCAATGTATTCTTCTGTACAGCATACCATTCACCTCCCAGTTTCACGGCTGTGGAGTAAAAAACAAGGCAACAAGCTCAGAAAAATCCAGCTCTGAAAAATCCAACAAAGAAGTTATTAAAATGGCCATCTTGGTTTCTAAAGCAGCTAAAAATTCTTTGGCAGAATAAGAAGTCTGTTTAGATAAAGGGTACACAGAGGGTTAAAAATTGCACTGTGGTGTCTGAAGAGGAGTAGAGAATATGAACTTTGTCTGCAAACATCCTGGCACTCTATGAAACATCATGGTCCACTGACACACCTCAAGATCTGGTCTTTGCATTGCATAATTTGTCTTCATAGACCTTACTATTATATTCTACATATTGATTCATTACATATATACACATATGTAATGGCAAATAATAAACACTTACCCCTGATAAATACTACAGCAGCAAAATGCACTGTGCTGCACAGAGCACAGGCAAAGCTGCTAAAAGCCTGGTTGACTTCTGGAATCCTGGAACAGAGAATGTAAACAGACTCATCGCCTTTCCAGTTATAACAAAACTGGGATGCAGAGTGAGCCAAAGAATAGAAAACATTCTCCACCCTTCCCAAAGTGGCTATTTATTGTTTTATAAAAAGATGAAATATCTGTGGGACATGAATCACATTTTTAACACATATGCATCAGCACAGTCCTTGCCACTTTTTCTTATAGGCTTATGCCTAAAGCATCAAGAGTGAATTAAGAGCAAGCAATATTTGGAAGTAAAAGAATGGTCAATGAGACTGCATGCAATTTTCAAGGAATGCAAAAGACATCTCTCAGAATATTGATAAGTTTTCACTAGATCCAAGGCTGCCTTGGTTTCACATATTATTAGCAGAGAAAGGAACCATCTTGGGACACTTTTCAATGTCAAAGGCATGTTTCTGGATGTAGAAACACTTGTTAACCATTCAGCTCTTACACTGAATGCTTGTAACCACTTATTGAGCAAGATTTGAAGTGTGATTGCCTACCTCCTTTGCCCACATAGCCACAGATTTTTAAATGCTCTCTTACATAAACTTCACTTAGATGACTTGGACATTCTTCAAATGACTTCAAGAATGTAAAAACAAGCCAGAAGGCTTGTTTCCTGTCTCAGTCTAAAAAGCATCAAGAAATAATGAAGTTATCACTGGAATCTGGAACATTTCCATTCACTTTCAATAAGGTTTAATGCTTCTCTGCAGAAGAATCTTTATTTCCAGCAAGCTATATACATATATATATGTGTGTGTGCTTTATCCAGTGTGTAACCAATGACAGCAAGCTATATATATGTGTGTGTGTGTGTGCTTTATCCAGTGTGTAACCAATGCTTTTTATCAGAGATAACTGGAAGTATTACAAATAGCTGAACATTCAGAACGGAATTTATTTAAACCCAGTTTCTGACAACGCCATAGTGAATTAAAAGCTGTACTGTTACAAACACAGGGACATGTGCTAAATGGAGCAGATTTATGTTCTCTCATGCGAGTTCTATTCCATCTCAGCTGTATTAGTCATATGATCTGCTAATCAGTTTACAGCCTACCATTGCTGTGTCAAAATCTCATTTTCTACAATAGTACGTTTACACATGGAATCAAGTTTGAGTCATTACAGATCTCATCCACTTTCTGTAAAGCTTTACATAGGTTGTTCTTAACATTTTAAATCAGTGTAAAGTTAAAACTCCATAAGATAAGAAAGTTTTTCAAGAAGCACATAGAATGAAGTAATTTTTTTGAATGAGCTGCAAGTTGTCATTTGGAGATTTTCTTGTTTTATCCAGGTCTTCTGATAAACCATTATGATCTAATTTTTACAATTCTCACTTTGCTTATATATTGATGAAAACAATTTTTATTATGAAGTTAAACATCACAGGGTTAACCCATTCTAAGCATAAGAATTCATGTTGAAATGTTACAGATGTGAGATATGGACTTTATACTAGATGGCAATAGAGCAGGAAACTGGAAAGAGTTACGGAATATGAGACCAGAACTAAATGAAATTCTTAATAGGGTCCTTCTATAAAGAAAGGACAAACTGACATATCCATCAACTTTTGACCCATAGCAAGTCTGAAAATAGCGTTGTCAATCAATTGTTGTCAATTGATGGTGAACAGATAATGTAGACCAGTTTCAAGCACATTCAACTGGATTTGTTCATAACAAAGCATTGTCAAAATAAAAATGTCAGTTGGAAGCATCATTTATAAAAGATTTTTTCCAAGTCTAAAACTAATGTGTCAGGTAGAATGGGGGAGGAGTGGGCAGAGTTAAAAATGATAGCTTTTAAAATAATGCAAACAGAATATTTTAGTTACATATCTGAACACCAGACCCACATTTAAAAAAATATTTTAACAAATCCAGCCCTTTATTTTTATAAAAAAGGAAAAGTGAATCATCTTAAAAATATAATTTTAGTATTTAAATAGAATAGCTAGATCACTGCTCAGCTTCTGTTCAGACCCTAGTAAATGAAGGTGCAGAGCAGCAGCTCTCCAGTAAGAGGTACCTTTATGGATGCAGACTGTCCTCTTATAAAGTAAGAGCCAGGCAGAACCATAGTCTTGCTTAACCTTCACACTATTAATCAACTACAAGGGGTCTGTGTGTATTGAAAGGGGGCAGGCAAGAAGGTGAGACTGAAGTGCAGTTACTCTCTATAAAATACTCTATGACAGTTCATGTTCACAACACCAAGATGGTAGGGGGAACTAAAACAAAACCAAGACATCTTCATCTGCAGCAATATCAGTCTGTATTACTGCCAAAATAGTCACTAGAGTCTATAGACAGAAACATATTTTTGTGATATGCAAAATACTCCCCAGAAATTAATTAATTAAACATAACCACAAAAAAGTGTAAACAGTCTACCCTGCATCTGCAGAAACTGAGCCTAAGAGAGGTTCTCTAACCATCAGGAACATAAGGAATCAATAACAGAACTGAGATATACAGATTTATTAATTATGGTATTTTACTAATCTTATGCTTGCCTGGGAATAAGTTTATCTTGACATAAATGTACCTGCCCTCAGCTCAGGTCTGCTGGGTGAAACCTATGCTCCCTTCCTTTTGACAAGCATTACAGTGTACACTCCACATTGCTTCATTAATTTACTATAACAGGAGCACTATACTGACAACCATCTCAGATGACCTCATTCAGAAGAACTTAATTTAGAGCACTTATCTGCTCCTCTATATTCTTCCTAAATTCTCCTTGTGGTCTTAATTACTGACATTTTTAATCTGTGTAATTTGTGAGTCTCAAAGTAAAATGACATTTTTCTTAACACTGCATGTGCTATGTGGGGGACCTGCCTGAAGACCCTGGCAGAGGCAGGGCCGAGAGCAATGAAGAGACCAGCCTTCTCTTTTGGGTAACTACTCTTTGTTCCAAGAAATCCCGAGGTTTTCACAGCAGCAAACTTCTGCCTATCCTTTCAGCCCCTCCAAGATTCACACAAGAGCATGGAGTGCTATCAGCACTCTCACCCTTTGGCTAGGAAGCTGTTCTTATTCTTCAAAATTATTTGGAAAGTTTACTATATCTGCTTATTTACCTGGTAATATCTCTTTGGAGAGATATTACTAGGTAATTATTATTATTATATTATTATGATATTATGATATTATTATGATTATTAGATATTATTATGGATCCTGCTATTTATGCATATCTAATCACCCTCAGAATGTGTTGCCTTCTCTATTTATGAGAATGCAAAAAGTAAAACTAACCACTAAACTGCTGATTCACACCCCAGTCTTAAGAGCCTACAATCTGCTTATTTTTTAACCCACAAGACCTACTAATGTCCTGAGGATGTTGCACACATATTCATGGGTACATTACAGATTCTTCCAATCTAAAAATTTAACAGTCATACTGCAAGAGTGGTCATTCATGTCTATTATGTATCTCTTTGTACTAATTTGTAATGTAGAGAAATACACTGTCTTCAGATTAGCTTAGAAGAAATTGTACATTCCTAGCAAACTAGTATGAATAATTTTTCTGGAGAGAAAAGTCATCTTCACTGCTTCTCTACTACTATGACCACTAGGGAAAAAGAGAGGA